AGATGATTCATTAATAATTGGTTTTTGTGGAAATTGCTTTTCAACTTGTTTAACATAATAATCATCAAAAGTAAGATTGAATGTTTCTTCGAATTTTCTAGTGCGCTTCTTTAACACTCTGTATGCAACCGAATTGTACGAATATCCCAAAAATATGCCTTCGTCAGCCTTAGCTTGAAATTTCAAAAGGTTATCTTTAAGATTCATTATAAAGCACCGTTTTTTGTTGAGAGTTTCAACAGTTGATGGTCCACAAAGGTCAATGTGAAGAAGTTCCAACGGTTCCACAATTTTCGAATCTATCACAATTGGATGTCCTTTCCTATGCTGTTTCCCTTGTTCGCAAGTTGCACATAAGGTATCATTGTCAAATTTTAAAACCGGTAAGCCTCGAACAAGATCATCAAGTACCAACTTATTTAAATTGCGAAAATTTAAATGTGATAAACGATGATGCCATAACTAGCTAACATCAGATGTGGCTTTCGAAAGTAAACAAACTGAAGGTTTCCCAACAATCGGTTTTAGATCAAGAGTAAACATATCCCCAAAACGTTTTGACTTCAGCAACACTTCGTTTGTTTCAACCTTTGAGATAATACTCCCTTTTTCGTTAAACACAACTTGATTGGCAGTGCCCATAACAAGTTGTGAAACACTTATCAAATTATGTTTCAGTCCTTCGACATAAGCAACACGATTTACAGTAAACTGTCCATTCGTTACTTTCCCATAACCTTTCACTTGACATTTGTGATTGTTTCCAAACTTCATAACACCTGCATTTTCCAAGCTTCGAAAATCTCTCAGATTTTCCTTTCGTCCTGTCATATGACGTGAAAAACCACTATCGATATACCATTTCTCATCATATTGCTCGTCACATAGTACCTGCGATCAATGAAAGAATTTAGGTACCCAAGGCTGTTTGGGTCCTTGGAAATTAGTTTTGAAAACAGAATGAAATGCAGAACTTTTAACCCAATCACAAACTTTCGTTTTGAGACTATCAATTAAGTCCACATCACTAGGTAAAGGAACATAAACATAAGTTTTTGTTAGTTTGGGATTGTCACTGACACATGCCTTCGTCTTTTTAGAATGTGTTTGGACATGCTTTTCTTTCGAAACCGGTTGCCAAGTTTTCACTGAGACATTTGAGTCTTTTGAAGATGAACTTTCAGTTGACGATGTATTCACATATTTCTCATAGGCTTCGTGAATTTGTTGTTGAGAATATTTCCTTGATTGATACATTCGTCCTTTTCCTTCAAGCCAATGATCGATGTTTTTGTCATGAGATAACCCTTTTGTATATGAAACTTCTAAGGTTTGTTTGCCTGTAGGATTTGGAAAATTAGGTTTTTGTGGGACGAAATCAACATTTGATTTAGGTCGAAATGCCATAACGTATCGACTTCCATCATTGTTTCCAACACTTTTGTTTTGAGAAAACCGATTTTGAGATTTTTGTTTTTGAGAAAACCTTGTTTGGTAATTAGAAGAAAATCGTTGTGGTGATGGTTGATTTTGAACACTTTTTGAGGTATTTTTGTTATCTTTAGAAAATGATGAGTTTGAAACTTTCGAAGAATTTGTTTTTGGATGAAATTCAGATCTAGTTTTATTTGATTAAGCGGGATTTTTCTTTTGATCTAAATGAATTGCTGAATATGATGACTTATTCTCAACAGATTTAGTCTTTTTGTTTTCAGTTGTTTTTAATATCAAACCATTTTGTTGCTTTCGTAACTCTATGGTTTGCCAAAAAATCTTCTTTCGAGCTTGTCTTTTTGAAATTGAATTTTCTTTTGAAAACTTGTCAATTTGTTCTTTAAATTCTTTGGAATTTAATTTGACAACAGTTTCATTTTCCACAATAACCTCTTTTGTAACTTCTTGCACAATTTTCGACTTTTCAACCCATTTGCGTTGTGGTTTTTGTCTTTGAAAAACATACGAATTTTGTGTTAGGTTATTTTCGACAGTGCTTTGATTTGAAAAGAATCCTTCGTCTGTTGTTTGCTTGTTGTCATCTTCGACAATTTTGATCAATACTGGTTTAATGTTCTCAACATTTCCAGTAGTAACAAACACTTGATTTGGGAAAACTACATCATCAGTACACTTGAAATTCGGATACACCACTTGATTTGTTTCCAAAAAATGGGCTCCTTTTTCAGATAACACTTTGTCGAAATTTTCAGTGTTCTCAAACACTTGATCAACAACCACACGTGGAATTTCATTTTCTTTCGAATCTTTGTTTGATGAGACCTTTTTGTGCGAATCATCTTCATCATTTTTATCATCACTACTATCCGTTTGACTGTCTCGGATATCTACAAACTCAGGATCACAAACTTTCGAAGTTGAAGGTTTGTGAGTGTCAATCTTAACCATCAAATCCTTAAGTTTTTCTTTTCCTTTAGATTTCGATGCAACATTAATGACAGACAACTAAGAACAATCAACATCCTCAATATCACTAATTTCGCTAATATTGTCAGAGTTATCTTCAATATCGGCAAAATTAGATTGAGTATCAGATGTTGAATTCTCAGTCTTTTTCAAAATTTTGATTTGTTCGGATTTTGTCAAAGTATCATTCACAATGTTAACTAATTCATTTGAATCAAGATATTCGTCAATTTTGACAATTCCATAAGTATATCTATCATCAGGAATTTTGTCAAACTCAGCAATATTTTTCTCACAATCATACGAAATATTATCAACCTTCGCTCTCTCATATGCTAGAAAAGGTAATAATTTCCTATGTTGTTCCTTGCTAATTTCACACAAATGATGCACTGCAGTTAACTTGCCATAAAAACGTTTAGCAGAATTGTAGTAGATATTTCGTTGAGCTAATAAGAGTTTTACATCACTAGATAACGAATCTCTATCACACATAATGTTTGTTATTTGCAATTCTAAACTCTTTATCTTGACAACTTTCGAATCTAACTTCTTCTGATTCTCTAACAACTGATTGCTTAATTTTTTAGCCTCATTGCTAGCAGAAACAACCAAATTATCAAAATAAGCAACAATTTCAGAATCATATGCACTCAAAGGAATATTGAAAGATTGAAGAATATTACGTACCTTTGTTGTCATTGGAGACTTATCAGCAGACTTTGACACAAAGCATCGGCCCTTGACCTCTTCGTCTGAATCTTCCTCCAGCTTCGCATACATGGCCCCATGCGTAGGATTACGCATTTCCTCATCATCGGAGCCTGAACACCAAATTTGATATGTGCCATCATTCTCCTGTTCACCTTGAGCCACCAAAGACAAATTTTTCGCCTTCGTACGCACCTCTTCCAACCTCTCCACATAATATGCCTCATCCTTTATTCTATTCTTCTTCTCATCCTTATTTCGAAGCATGCAATCATTTGCTAGATGATTGGCTCCATTGCAATAATGACAATCCATACCAGAATCTCCTTTCAGTTTCTTCTCTTTCTTTTCCTCAGCACTCTTCCCATCATTCTTCTCAAACTTCTTCTTCTCTTCTCCTACAGCCTTGTTCACGAAACTTCCTTTTCCCTCACTTTGTTTCACCTTCGAATTAAACGGTTTCTTAAAAAAACTTTTTGACTCGATTGTTTGAGTAAAAAAGCTATTGCCTCATCATCCGAATTCATGATAAACCCTTCTTCATCATCAGAATCACCTTTTTCGACTGCTTCCTTTTCAGACACTTTAGAGATAAGTGCTAATGGACCTCCCAGACTAAGCTTCGACTCTTCTGCCATTTCGTTCACTTCACTTTCGTGAGTTTTCAGTTGATTGTACAAATCATTCAAAGAAGATGTGTCGAAACTCTGTTGATTTTTCACCATCATGCTAACACTCCTCCATTCTTTACGGAGTCCCATAACAAATGTGAGATTGAATTCCATGGCAGACCTTGTGATTCCATAACGATTACATTTGTAAATCAGCTCGTTCAGCCTATCATAGTAACTTTTGATCGTTTAACCATCTTTTTGCTTGAAATCCTTCAATTCAATCAAACATTGCTTAACTGAATTGATTTTCGTCTTCTCGCTACCTTGAAACTTTTATTTGAGATTATTTCAGATTTCTTTAGAAGTTGTACAACTCCTGACATAGTTATACATAACTGGAGGTAATGCACCACGTAACTCCCTTATGCATCGTTTCTCAAGTTTCTTCATTCGATCAGATTGATTTTCCACACTCGTAGTACTAGATGACGATCCAATAGGTTGAAGATTCATCGGAAGAGTAACATTCCCTGAGATGCAAGACCAAAGCTCTTCATCGAGTCCATTCAAATAATCTTGCATACGATCAGACCACTGATCATAGTATTCTGAAATGAGCATGGGAATCTTCGTTGAAGATCCTAGCAGATGAGAGTATGAAGTCATCGAGTTGAGATTGAAGTTCGCCATTGATGTACGGAAGAAATTTTTTAAGTATTTTTGAGAAATCAAAGAGAATTTGAAAGCAAATTGCTGAATTGATCAACAAAATCAAGTAGAACACTCGATTCAACAAATCAGTTGTAGAATCGAATCACAACTGAAGATCTAGAACGCTTTTTCACGTCAAAAGGTGCGGAACTTTTGAACCAGAAATTTGATTCAAAAACCTTTTGAATCAGAGTGAAAATCAGATCGCAGATGATGATTCCAGCTCTGATACCAATTGATGAATTGTAGAATCAAGTATGAATCAAATCAGAGTTAAAACAAATGAAGATTGAACACGCGATGTAAATATGATCTGATTTCAGCTTTATTATGCTTTCAATTGTTACAGAGAGAAAAATAGACAAGTTGTACCAAGACTCTTATCTAACTCTAAGTAATGTCCCTATTTATAGGAAACAAGAAAGCATACAAAAAATTACAAGGACTAAACAGTACGCTTCGTTACAAATGTGCCTTGTAAAATAAACTTATGACTTCGACATATTACAACTGGTCTTCGACCCTTACAAATATAGATTTCAAATGGGAAGATTTGGAACATTAGAGTTTCGTGGAGATGGGGAAGTGGATCTAATTGATGTAAATGATGATGAGGATAAGTTGGTAAGTTATTTTATTATGTAGGTCATGTAATTTGCTTAAAACTCACAATATAATTCATAAGATAAATGTGTAACTGTTTTTACTAACAATGACAGGTAGAGGTGGAAACAATTGAAATGCTATATTGTAGGATCTGTGATGATAAGAAAAAAATTGAAGAAGCAATTAAGAAGGGGTTAGAAAATGATGCAAATGATGAGGAGGTAAAAGAGTGGTCACGGAAGGTGCGTCAACTTTTTTATGCGACGACTCTGGAACCTGAGAGAGTTGATTATCCAAAAGAATCTAAAAAAATAAATGTTGTTGGAGGTGTCACGGATGGAGATAATAGCTCACCCACAAATGAAGCGACAATGAAAACGCCAGTTAAAGTTGCTGTCAATTCTGATCAAAGTAATTTTGTGAAAGGAAGTAGTCTGATATGCAATGTTCCACTGGAAGGAAATAACGGGAAGACAAAGGTTGTGTATGTGTGTGACTCAATTTCAGTACTCTTGCTTGAATATAAAGGATATTCATTGTTGGATAGTCCAGTTGTTATGACTCCTGGTTTTTTGAATATGTCTGATGAAATTGTGGAAATGAGCATCAGAAAGAAGAAGGGTTTTTGCAAAGATGACATACCATCATTCGATTTGAGAATAACACAATTGAATGAGGAAGATAAAAATATGGATGATATGGAAGGAACTAAGGCAGTAATTAGATATACAAAGAAATCTGTTGCGGAAGATAAGCTAAAGAGAAAAAATGGCAACGATATTATGGAAAGTGAAAAGGTGCATGTTGTTGACTTCAATAATGGAAAAGGTAAAAGGAAGGGGAAACTTGGACAATTTAGGTGTTCACCATATGTAGATCGGATTACAGACATGGATGAGACGGTTAAAGATGATGAAAACGTTGTGGCTCAAAGCATAATAACATGGGGAAAAGATAAAAGGTAAGAATGTACATTTTAAATGAGTCAATATAAATGGGAGATTTATTTTTTTCATGATAATTTTATTGTTTTATGTTACAAATGCAGAGAAAATAATATGGGAAACTATTGAAGGTTGTGGAATGCATTTAGAATCTGCACGTACGTTAGCTATGAGAACAAAAGTGCATAACAATGTAATAGACGCGTGGGTTGTTTTCCTTAATAAATTTGAGGAGCAAAAGTCAGAGGCATCTTACTATAGGATGTATTTACATGCGATACAATTGTAAGTTTTTAATATGACTATGTATGTTCTATGTCATATTTTCCTATGAATTTTAATCTGGTCGATATTTTTTTTTATCATAAAACAGACGGAGTACATGGTTAACGAAACTATAGAAGAGGAGATGAGGTACAATAAATTTAGAATTATGTTTGTAGCTGTGATTAATGACATAACAGACAAACAATGGACAAACGAGATTTAAAATAGTGGACTTGGTATGGAATTGTTACATGTTACAGTATTTATACATGATTTGTATCACACATCTATGTTGAACTAATGTTGATTTTGTTTAATTGTAGGTTTTCATTCCAATTGTTGTTCATGACAGTTACTACCTAGTCTGCTTTTGCTTGAAAAGGATTGCATTTTATATATTTGATCACACTAAGAGGTCGGGGACAATTGAGTCAGCATATGGGAAGAGACCACGTATACCGGTTAGATATGTTGTTTTCTTAATCAATTCATATATATATATATATATATATATATATATATATATATATATATATATATATATATATAATCATAATTGTTGTTATATATTTTTTATAATATGAATTATTATTTAATTTGACATGCAACAAAGTTTCTTTTGTCGTTATCTGAAAAGTGTTGAACACAAAAAAGCAAATGCGTTACATAAAAAAGAAGTTGTGGTTATGAAAATGAAGTGTCAAAGGAAAATAGTTGGTGTTGATTATGGAATGTTCCTTATGTGACACATGGAAACATACATGGGAGAAGCGACACATAAATGAGATTGCGGTATATTTGTTGCTTTTACAAATAAACGATTTCTAAATATTTCTAAAATGATTTCAGTTGTTGAAACACTTTTAAATGCTTTCAAACTCCTTTAAATGTCTTAAAAAGTCTTTTAAACTTATATTTTGCCAAAAATCATATATATATATATATATATATATATATTATATATATATAATATATATATAAGATTTAAAGGGCTTAAGACTAATAATGCGTTTTATTTCCTTTTCCTTGTTTGGATGTGGGCTTAGGGTAACATTATTTGTCCGAATGTCGTTTCAATTTTAGTTATATATATATATATATATATATATATATATATATATGAATATAAAAGTTACTTCAAGCTGATATACATTCCCTTTTGTAACATGCCGAGCAAAAGGGGGGGGGGGGGTACTTTCACGAATAATTCATAACAAAAAGAATGCAAATATAAATTATTATAGGTATAATTTATGGAACTTTCTTACTATTTTCACTAGTCAGTTATACGAACTTTAACAATATACTCTCGTACAAATACTTTACATTCAAGTATACTAGAAAATGATCATACTATCAGTTCATTTATTTCAGAATAACTTTTCATCATTATTATACACGTAATTGTCAATATGGTTTTTGTGATACAAAGTTTACACGCTTAATTATTTAAGCAATACTATTAAGATCTGATAATTATAACCAGAATCTCCCGATAGAGAGCGAGACAAACGTGTATAGATCTATACGGGATTTACAATCTTGCACTCAGACTGTTCGCTACAGTTAGGCTGGTATGCCTGCGAGTGACAAATGTCGTTACAGTTCTGGCGCCTACAAAGTGTCGTATCAGGCCAACTAGTCATAGCATGGTTATAATAACTCACAAAACGATATGAACAAATACGATTAGTGTATAAATAATTAAACCAAAGAGTACGAATACAACGTACTGGTTTTACAATAATACGATTTATAGTATTACATTACAATTTACAATTACAGCTGGTAGAGCCAGGCATACTCACTTTTACAGGGTTTTCAAAGAGTACAATTACGGAACTTGGAAAACATAAAAAATACAGAAAACATTCTTTTTATAGTTTTATTGTGAACTAAAACTATGTTACACTATTTTATAGTACAACAACACTTATACAGAACGGTTTTATAGTATTAAAACTACTTTTCAGTTAAAATAGAAAATATTGGATTTTCTGGAACAATAAACATACTCACTATTTCAAGGAATAGAAAAAAAGCTTTTAAACATAAATACTTATGCACTCACCAACTTAAATGTTGATACTCTTCTTTTTAAAAACACTTATATTCTCAGGAACCAGTAGACAGGTACATCCCCGAGATTTTGAGAAGACGGAGCAGTATAGAGTCATGTCTTCTATCTTTTTCTATATATATAACTTTTGATGTCATATATACAATGACTTGAACACTTATGTAAAAACTTATATATTATTAATGCAATGGTTGTTGTACTTTGATTACTATGATGCATGTGTTGTGATACTTAACATGAAGTTATCCACCCCCGGATGTTTCCACCGCTCCGGTTTGGGGGTGTGACAGATTGGTATCAGAGCATTGTTTATAGTGAACTAAGTATATCAATTCATAAAAGATGTACAACTATAAATACATTGGGGCTAAAGAGAACTGACTACAAGTATACTTTTAAAATATAAGTATTTTATAAGAAGTATACTAACACTCATACATACAAGAACAACATCACAGTGAGTAACAACATAAAAGTATTTGGATGTTGGACACTGCAGTTAAACCTGGACAATTATGTAATCATATTTGGGATAAATATAGCCTGATCAACTATATTTATTTGAGATACGACCAGCATGTGTTTGGGAGTGATGGTAGTGTTGCAACAAGTCTAAAACTTACCAACTCTACATATACAAAAGAACTCTAGAACAGAACATAAAATTTAAAATGTTATAGGAGTATTTTAGGCACTATAATACTAAGAACCAACTATGTGAAAGGAAAGGACCCATGCTGATAGATCTCTAAGTACTAAGTGTATATATTATGGTTATATATAATTAAGGTTTTATAGACTTAGAATGTGTGGTTTAGCTTTACTTCCTTTTCCTTGTTTAGATGTGGATGTAGAGTAGGATCATTTATTCGAAGGTCTATTCGACCCAAGTTATATATAATTGGTATACACTTTGTGGTTATAGAAGGACCCAGTATGAGTCATACCATACAGAATACATTAACTGATTAATTATAAGTTTCTTATATGGAAACTTGAAATTGTTTACTTGCCTTTAATAAGTCTATTAAATGTCTCTTACACCCCTATTCTCGCGTAGTTAACATGGCTGAATTTCATCTACCGGGAGACCCGTACTTTCCCAATCAAGGAAATGGCAGTTGGATTGAACCAAAGGATGACCCTATGGTTCCAATAGAAGAAGACTTCGAAGAAGATTTTCCAGAAGATTCTGACTCAGAATCAGAAGCCTATAACCCACCTCAAGTTGCCCAAAACCCCAATCCCCGTCAGGACTTCCAAGGTCCGACGCCTCAGTGGGCAGTGAACTTAGATAGGTGGAGTCATGAGCAGGGTCACACATCTATGTTGAACTAATGTTGATTTTGTTTAATTGTAGGTTTTCATTCCAGTTGTTGTTGATGACAGTTACTACCTAGTCTGCTTTTGCTTGAAAAGGATTGCATTTTATATATTTGATCACATTAAGAGGTCGGGGACAATTGAGTCTGCATATGGGAATAAACCACGTATACCGGTTAGATATGTTGTTTTCTTAATCAATTCATATATATATATATATATATATATATATATAATCATAATTATTGTTATATATTTGTTATAATATGAATTATTATTTAATTTGACATGCAACAAAGTTTCTTTTGTTGTTGTCTGAAAAGTGTTGAACACAAAAAAGCAAATGCGTTACTTAAAAAAGAAGTTGTGGTTTTGAAAATGAAGTGTCAAAGGAAAATAGTTGGTGTTGATTGTGGAATGTTCCTTATGCAACACATGGAAACATACATGGGAGAAGCGGCACATAAATGGGATTGTGGTATATGTGTTGCTTTTAAAATGCAAGAAAAGATTTTTGGGACGGGTAAGGTATAAGTATCTAGATAAGCTGATGATGTCGAATTTTAATGTTATGAAGCATACATTTGTGAAGCATTATGCAACTGTCAAAAAATGGATAGGTTTCAAAGGATGAATTTGATTGAAGGTAAGAAGAAATAAATTACCGGTGTGGTGCAGTAGAATGATATGTGAAGAAGATTATGGTTTTTAATTAGGTTTTTTAGTATTATAAAAGTTGATGATCGTTTATGAACTTTGAAGTGTTTTGTTATGTTGGTTTATTGGAATATGTTAATTTTGTTTAGATTGATATATGTTTTGGACATCTTCTAAGTAAAACTATGTGATGGGTTTATTTAATGTGTGAAAATATGGTTATTATAAGTAATGTGTACCTAAAATTATTGCCTATATTCCATATGTAATATATGGTATATGACACTGAGCAGTATATCTGTTAGAAAAGGTTACTTAATATATGAAATATGACTCTTTTCATTCTAAATCTATGTTTTTGTGGTGCATACTGTAAATACTATAAACCATATTGTTATTGTTTCTTAAATAACTATTGGGTGAACCTTATGGTTGAATATATTGATGTTAAAACGGAATACATGTTGTGATTAATTAAAAATTTGATTGAAACATCAAATTCCTACTAGATTGTCATAGTTTCTAAGACTTAACTTGGATTTGGAATTGTAAAAAGAATAACTAAAAAATTTCTATTTAGAATAATATAACACTGCTTGTATGTGAAAATTCTAAATTGAATAACTAACATAATTCTAAATAGAATTATGTATTAAGTGGTATATGCAACAATTATATAATGAATAAGACATATAATTCTTTTTGAAGTGCATATGTTGATTCTTTTTTATATGTAAATAGAATAAGCATGTATACTCAATTTAGAAATATGTGTAATGGAAATGAAATTTGTATATTAATT